GGAGGGTCAGAGGGAGAAGCAGACTCCCTGCTGAGCAGGGAGCCTGATGCGGGACTCGATCCTGGGACTCCAGGATCATGACCTGAGCCGAAGGCAGTTGCTTAACCAACTGAGCCACCCAGGCGCCCTCTAATCCTAGACCTTCTATTCCATGTATCTATTTGCCTATTCATTTGCCAGTACCACACTGTTTTAATTATTAAAACTTTGTATGTAAGAAATTTAGTACCAGCATTACTTTATTTCTTGGGATTTCCTCCCCTAAGGCTGTAGGGTGGCTCTCCTCCATACCTGCACTCTACATTGTTCCAGTTCTTCTTTCAGATGAGACGCTCCTTGTTTCCACTTCTCAAATGCACTGGGTCCCAGCTCTTCCTCCTTCTGGCCCAGCATTTCTGCTAGACGTTGATTAAGTTCTTGCAGTTCTTTCTCATTTTGAGAGTTCTTTTGGCTAAGTTCTGTATTTTCCAAATCCAACTCTTGGTTTTTGGTTTTTAATTCTGCAATCTAATTAAAATTGAAATAAGTTTTACAAACAAGTTACCCTACTTCTACTAAAAAACAGATAACAGAGACTAACTGGTTCTTCCCCCTCCGTAGATAAGGTTTTATACATAGATATGTACATGTACACACACACACACACACACCCTTACTAATAGAACTAATACAGCACTCATTATTACAAACTCCATCAATTGGGAAATGTATGGAGAAGTGACAGACCCTTGGTTCAGTCTAACTCCACGGGGGTAGCCACTGTTCACAGCTGGGTCTGTATCCCTCCAGATTGGTTTCTACGTATATACAAAACTCATATGCACATAGAGGTTTTTCTCCTCTTTAAAACAAAAATTTGAATCATTTCAGATGTTTGGACAGCCTGCTTTTCCCACTTATAATTATATCTTACAGACTTTTATCATCTTTCTAAGTCAGTGCATTCGGAAACCACCACATGCTATATTTTTTAGTGGTTATAGCATATTCTATGTGTTAAGACATTCCATAATGTATTTATCCATTCCCACACTGACAGACATATAAGTTTATCATTCTTTTCATTATGAAGAAACACAACCTTTTGAAAAATTCATTTATACATGGCAGCATTTTATATTTAGGATCATTTTCTTAGAAGTGGGGCTGCTGGGTTAGGAGGTCTGCATACACATCACTGTTTTGATAGATATCCCCAAAGTATCTTCCTCACAGTGCTACCAACTTATACTCCTACCAAAAATGTATGAGTACATTCATTTCTTCACCCCTTTTTAAAGAAGAGACGGTATCTTTAATTTTTGCTAATCTGAAAGATGAAAAAAGGAAAATTAATTTGCACTTCCCTAATTAGGCTATCTTTTTATACATTGTATTTGTTTTTTCCTTTCCTTGACTACTCAAACCAATTATCTGTTTTTCAACTGGTGTTTTGCCATTTATTTGTAACAGTACAGAATATATTTTGGATGTTAAGACCTTGTCTGTTTTAAGTCCTGAAAATGCTCTTTACCCAGGATGTCCTTGTCTTTCGGCTATTTCAGACAGATTCTTAAATGGACTTTCCCTGCGCAATTGCATGTTGTGAGATTACACAACTTGGGTGCCAAACAGCACAGGCTATCTGAATACACTGCAATTCTATGCAAAGATATACTGATGAAACATTACTCTAGATCTGTGAAACTGCGTCCTTAACTTTCTGGTTTCAATCACGGTGATAAAAGAGGAAGGATTACTTGAAAGAATGTGAGGGATAGAGGTAGTATTTCACAGATAGTTTCAGAGGTACCATCTCCCCATTCCCACTGATTATAAAGCTTGTATTAAGCCCTCAAAATCTAGAAGTAGTATATATATTATAATATTAACCAAAAAACAGAAACCTAGTTTAGAGTCAGCATGGGGTGAGTTTCCATTCTGAAACTCCAGATTTACAACTTTACTGTCATTAGCTACATGTTACTCTAGTAGCATATGCTATAAATTTCAAACAAAGAAAACTTCAGAATCAAGAAACACTGGGAAATACTAAGTATCTCCTTACCTGTTTCTTTAAATTTTCAACCATCTTCTGAACTGCAGCTTTTTCCTGTTTTACAGTTTCTATTTTTTGCCTAAAGGGACAGTGAAAATATAACCTAAGAGTTAGGCTTTAAAAGTTGAAGAAAAACAGTTTTAGTCCTTGCAAAAATGCCTGAAGAAAATGTAAGTATATGTCTTACCACATTTCTTCCTGTGACCCATTTAATTTCCCTAATTTCAGGTTAGAAATGCTATCATCTTCATTTAAAGTAGTAATTTCATTTCTCAAAATAGAATTTTCTTCTTGAAGCTTCTCAGATTCATATCTGAATTACAGAGATTAAAAAAAAATAGTTATAACAAGGCAGTCATCTGGCATCTTTGGAAAATGCTTTCTAGTAACTTCCAATAAAACAAGCAGTCCATGCCCATTAAAAAGAGAAGTCTAAATTAGTAGACTCTTAGTAATGGAAGTCAAGCTATGACATATTGACTCATTTCTTTTGGGAAGTTAAGAATTTCACAAAAAGACGTTAGGGAAGTGTGGCTAAAACACTTGAGCACAGAGACAGGAATTGAGACTCTGCCCACCATGGTTGCTAATTTTTTTCAGCGGCAAGCATACAGCTTTGAGCAAATAACTTCATTTATCTCAGTCTCAAGTCCTACTTGCTCTGGGCTCTGGATAAGCATAAGCCTAATACTAAGCTGTATTAGCTTTAGTTACAGGCCTCAGGGTTCCTAGAGAAAGAGAATTCAGTACATAAATCAAAGGACCACACTGAAATATGTACATTCATGTTTACTTTGTGATTTTTTTTCAGCTCATTATATTCTGATTTTTAGAACTAAAAATGGTCTGAAGAGGAAAAACTACATCTAGAATTACTTTGTTTCCTATCAAGATACTTCAGAAACATGTAATATTTTACAAGTTTTTTTTTAAACCAAATTTGCTAGAAGACAATTGCACTCATATAAAGTCAAGTGAGCAATGTTCAAATTAGTTTCATTTTTTATCTTTATTTCGAGCACATTTATAAGACTCTGATAGCTCTTCAATAAAATTCTACGTTCTAAGATGAATTTCCATTGTTTACAGAGTATCAGCCATGTACTTCAAGTGCTATAAGGGAAAAACTGTAAGCCACAAAGCATGACATTTTTCCTACATTAGTACAGGATAAGGGTTCTCATCTACCAAGTGAGTTAATAATAAACAAACGGCATTCTCAAAGAACACGTTCCATCACAGGAAGAAAATAACTAACATTGAGCAAAAACCAAAACCAAAACCAAAACAACTATCGATCCAAATGAAACGCTAGAGAAAGAGTTAAAGACTTGACATACACTGATGATGCACATGGTTAAATGGCACACACTCTCCATTATGACACCAACGAACGACATTTATCTCCCATAGAGGAAGGGAATGCCTCCTAGGCCAGGTTATTCTATTTGTTAATGCGACACAGAAGCAGAAAGAAGTCTACAGTAGCGCTCTCTTCTCGAAGGCTAACAGGTTAGTTTCTCCAGGCAGAGCAAGCAGTGGGAGTTAGATGTGGTGAGGTGCTCTTGGGAGTCCAGGGAGCTCAGAAGGCATATACGTTACCTCAGAAGTTCAACTTTCTGTTGCATCTCACTGCACGTGATTTGCAAGTCGTGCATCATTGCCTTCAGCTCCTCCTCGTTCTCTCCTTGACAAGGTACACCTTTTTGCTTAACTAAAGCAGCGACTCTCTCCCTCAACTTCCTGGTCAGCTCTTGCAGCTTTTTTTTCTCCAGTTCTAACTCTGCTATCGTGGCCTGACGCGGAAGGTGTCTGTCTTGAAGGCCTAGGAGGGCAGTGTCTTCTTCCTCCGGTAAAACCTGCTTCTGTACTCGGGGCTGTTCTCCATGTGTCCGGACTCGTCTGTGTAGCCAGGCAATTTCACATGCTTGTACTCTTTCCAGAAGCTGTGTATTCTCCTGCTCGAGGTACTGGTGATCTTGATAATGTTCTTCTATGATACGGTGTACGTCCCTCACCTCGGGCACACACTCTTCCAGCGTCTGGTGGGGTTCGGGCACCTTCCCATCGGGCGGGACTTCCAGCTTAGCCAAGCGGGCTTCCCATAAGCAGCAGTCACGCTGGAGCGCCGCTCTGGCCTGCAGCTTCTCCAGCGCACCCTCAAGTCTCAAAACCAGAACATGCAGCTCCTCGTTTTCTCTCTTGACTTCACCGTAACTCTCTTCCAGGCTGAAGAACGTTTCCGTCGCCTCTTCCGCTTTCTTTAGCTCGTGCTGCAGTTTGAAAACTTCCGAAGTGAGCTCTGTGTTACTTTCGAGGGCTTCGTCATAGCGCGTCTCCATCACTCGCAGCTCCTCCTGGAGACAGTCATTTTCCCTGCTGGCGTCTTCATACAGCAGTTTATACTTGAGGGAAGCCTCAGGGATTCTCTCAAGCATCTTCAGTTTCTTTTTCAGCACGGCGATGTCAAAAAGGAGGTCCCGTTTCTTTTCAGAAGCTCGACTGCAGTCTGCACGCAGGATCGTTAGCTGTCCCTTAAGCTGACAAATCTGATTCTTCAGGTCCCAGGTCTCAGTCCTGGTCTCTTCGCTATTTTCGAGCTCGGAAAAACTCTCCATTGATGCTTCAGACTCCTCCATTTTGACCGCCCGTCTCTGAGGAGAGCCCGTCCCTGGACTGCCCAAATCCGGGGCCTCATCGTCCGGTAGGTCACTGAGGACGCAAGGTGGGCTTACACCTTCTACTTGTTTCATTTGATTTGGCAGCAAAAAGGGCTCTGTTTGTTCCACAGAATTTCCAAATAGCCCAGTAGCTGGCTCATCAAAACAAGACATTACCAAGCCCGGCTCTAATTTTTGCAGCTTCTGTTGCAATCTCGAAATTTCCGTGGCCATTTTCACATTTTCCTTCACTGCTCGCTCATGAGCTCTCTGCAGGCTTAAGAGGACATCTCCATTCTCTTCCAACAGCTGCTTTCCTTGCTGGAGCAGGGACATGGCTCCACTGCCTTCCGCCGCCTCCCCTCCTGCCGCCTGGCAGCCATTCTCTCTCCTGGACGGAGGAGATGCCTGCTGCATTTCCTTAATTTTGTTCTGAAGCCTGGAGATGTCTGTGCTCATCTCAGCCCTCTCTTGGTCTGCTTTCTCACAGGTCACTCTGTGGACACTCTCCATGGCCTGCAGCCCGGACACCATCTCCTGCTCCTCCCGGTCCCGTTCCATTGCTAGCTTCTCCAGCGGCTGGCTGGCCAGATGCCCCGAGGCACCTGCCCGGCCCAGGACCTGCTCGCCGTCCCTCAGCTCCCTTTCACGACTGCTCTTCAGCTCAAGGATCTGGTCGGACAGTAGGCTTTGCTGACTTTCTGACACATTTCTTAGATCTTCCAGGTCTTTGAGTAGCTGCTCTCTTTCAACAACCATACTATTCAAATGTTCTTTGTAGGTTTTCTCCAGCATCTCTCTCTCCTGGGTCAGGACCAGAGAAGTGGCTTTCTCTCTTTGGAGAGTCTCTTTCAGCTGCTCCTGGGCTTCTGCACACTCCTGGGTGAGCTCGTCCTTCTCAAACTCCCACTGGGATCTCTCCTCAAGCTGCTGTTCCAGGAGCTCCTTCAGCTCTTGGTGGTAGTGCCCCTCCAGGCTTCGCAGGGCATTTTCACACCTCTCAGTGACTTTCTGACAATCAGCCTGACACTGGGCTTCTATCTGACAGGTTCTTCTAGTACACTCAGTTTCCATTTTTTCCCTAAATGTAGTCAACATACAGCATTACTGAAACTGCCACCAATTCGAGAAGCAAACAAAAAACAGTTCCCCATGCACAGAAGAAGTTGCCAGGCACACAATCTAAACACTTTCTAAAAACAGCCCTCACTTATTCCTACGTAATTGATTTCTACAAAGACAGGATCTCATTTCTGAGAGCTAGGACTGGCAGCCATAATTAATTTATAAGACTTACCTCTCTCTGCACTTAGAGGGAAAATTTGGAAACCAACTTCTTTGGCATACTCCTGGGATGTGTTTGTTTATGGAAAATGTAAGCTGATTTTACATCAATGATCAAACGCATATTCTTTTTTTTTTTTTTAATAAAGATTTATTTTTTAGAGAGTGAGCGAGAGAGAAACAGCATGAGAGGGGAGAGGGTCAGAGAGAGAAGCAGGCTCCCCGCTAAGCCGGGAGCCCGATGCGGGATTCAATCCCAGGACCCTGGGATCATGACCTGAGCCGAAGGCAGACGCCCAACCATCTGAGCCACCCAGGCGCCCCTGATCAAACGCATATTAACCTAATCCCTAACTTGGGAAATATATAAAATTCCTTCATTTTAATTAAGTATACATTGCAAGGACAGTAGTCCTATAAACCATACCTATTAACATAATCATTACATTTTTCCTTCTTATTTAATAAAGCAGCACCCAGTTAATCATAGAATGAAGCATCAAAGCCCTCAAATGTACCTGAGATTTCACGTGAGGAAGGTAAGCACAAAGCGGCATTTCACGCTTTGGGGAGGAATAGAACTTTACCCAGAATTTAGCTTACAAATAGCGTTTCTCGGACACAGTAATTATTCTCATCTGGAACCTGAAAGGATACTTGTTGATACAAGAAATACGGTCTTTGAAAAAAAACAGTTCCAATAACCCCAGGGTAGGCTTATGTCTGTGGGTAAACGGGCTGAGAAACTAAAGAGTCTAGTCAAAGTCTCCTTAACTGACTGGAACTTCTGGTGCCCCCAAGGTATAGTGTCCTGGGTTTCTCCATTTCCCCCTATTTTCTTACCTTCCCTCTTGAAGTTCCCTTTGGTGTTTTTCCAAGAGCTCTTTTCGCAACTCCTCTTTCTCAAGAGTGTGCTTCTCCATCAGGCTTTTAAGCTGCTCCTGGTGAAACTGCTCTAGTTCCTGAGTCAAGCCTCTCACTTTCTCTTCTGTCCAGGCGCCATTTTGAATGAGTCCTTCTCTCTCTCGGTTAAAGCTTTCCTCTGCCTGCTCTAGGCTAGCCTTGAGTTCCAACTCATGTTCCAACCTCAGCTTCTCCTGCAGGTGAGTCTTTTCCTCATCCCACTTCTTTTGCAGTTCTTTTTTCTCATCCTCGTGTCTGCAGATAGTTGTATGCTGTGCCTCCTTGAGCACCCCTGTCTGGCCCTGAAGTTCTGTAATTTCATTTTTAAGGTCACTTATTTGTTTTTCTAAGACATGTACTTCATTCTCATACTTTTGCTTCATGTTCTCTTGCTCCTTTTCACAGGCAACCTTGGTTTCATCTAGCTGCTTTTCATAACGGTGCACCTAAGGTCAGAAAGCAAAACCACCATAATGTTATTCAACTCAAGGCCATGGAAAGGTGATCGGGGCTGTAAGCTACTTTTTGCCTATGAGACATGATACATTCTTCAGTTTTCCCATTTTAACAACTTTAAAACATGTTAAATAAGATATATTTGAGTCAAGCATAGTTTGCTTTCCTTTTTAACTCCGTTGAATTTTATTATTTTTTAAAGATGTTATTTATTTATTTATTTGAGAGCGAGAGTGCACACATGCACACGAGCAGGGCGAGGGGCAGGGAGCAGAAGGAGAGAATCTCAAGCAGACTCCGCACTGAGTGGGGAGTCTAATGCAGGGCTCCATCCTATGACCCTGGGATCATGACCTGAGCCGAAATCAAGAGTCCAACGCTCAGCCAACTGAGCCACCCAGGTGCCCCAAATTTTATTAGTTTCTGAACAACTCCGATAAAAATGACTAGACTTTCACATAGGTACCATTTGTCTTCCCAGGCATCCTGTCCAACTGTAGATGTAGGGTCTTAAACTAATTAAATTCAAATATTTCTTGAACACCTATCATAGGCATTCTGTGGGCTTTGTGGGGACACGATATTGGGTAAGATACAGTCCTGCCATCCAGGAGAAACCACCCTAGACGTGGTTTTGACAAGTACAAACAAGTATACCACAAGGCAGACTGAAAAATATAAAAGGTATAGAAAACAGAGAGCTATGATGTAACCTGGAGATCCAAAGAGGGAAAAATATCACATTTGGTCAAGGGTGTTCAGGAATGGGTTCATGCAAGAGGTAGCATTTGATATAAACTCTGAAAGGGAAGGAGACTTTCAAGAGATAGAAAGAAATCACATAGCATGTAATAGCACGAACAAAAGAGGACAGTTTGATGAAGAACAGCCAACTACTGGTTTGACAAGAGGAGAAGGTAAAAGAAAAGACTAAAAATATAAGTCGAAGCAACATCGTGGAGGGTTTTGGAGGTGAAGATTCAGAACTTGTACCTAATGCTAGCTATATCAAAGGGCTTTTTTGGTTTTATTAAGATGTTTTGGGACCAGTTGGAAATAATGTATTGGCCTTCAAGTTTCATGCTTGCTAGGGCTGAAGAGAATACATTCTGGAGAAATTCTCTCCTAGGAGGAAAAGGCCTCATGCTCAGCCTACGAAACCATCATGAGGAAGGGGGGTTTTGGTAGCCTCCAGACACAAGAGGAAATGCACAGAAGGTGATTATCTATGAGTAAAAAGAATTAAGAATGTCCTACATGCAAAAGCTTGTCAGAGCTCAAAGAAATGAGAGAACAGGATAAGAAGGACTTACTTTTTCTTCAAGCTCCAGTCTCAAGCGACATAAGTCCCTGTGATGATGTTCTTTCATCTGTTCAATGACCAGCTCCGCCTCGATGCTCATATTCAATGGATTGCATTCTTCAGAACCAAGCCCTGAAAACACATGGGATCTGTTGACCCTGCGGCAGGTTCTTTCAATAACACAACTGGCATCTGAGGAGGGACATCCAGTTAAACTAAGGAAAAATTTTCAGCCTAAATTACCACTAATGAGATCTACTAGGAAACCATAGAAGCCAAGAAGTTTCTTGTTTTCAAGTATTAAAAATGAAGGTGAACAGGCAGTACGGTAAGATTGTTTCATGTGCAGACTCTGTGCCAAACCTTAACAGAATCCATCTTTTTGAAGAGTAGGTGGGTAGGGGTAGGGGTGGAAACTGTTCAAAGGTGACCTTCTAAATGAAAATGCTGTGGAGTGAGGTAACTTGGTGAAACCAACCAGCCTTCTATCCATCAGACAAACTAGCAGAGGGCAGCGTGGCAGAAGATGCCCGGAGGCATTACCTTCATGGGTCAAGATCTCAAACCCACCACTCAGTTACAGAAGATTGAGTATTATAATATTGATTTCCTATAGTGCAAGTGGAACCCCATTTTAAATTATCAGCTAAAATTTAAAAAAAATAGTGCATTGGTTAGGAACCTAGATATGGGCAGTTTGGGAGAAAAATTCTCAACTCATACATATGGGTTCACTTCCACAACTGCCCATCATGGCAACTGAGAAGAACACTGAAATGTGAAGCATAAATTGGAGGCTGAGCCAGTACACAGACAAAGTGATGATGTCTAATACTGTGTGGAAATCTCCAAAGGCAGGGGATTCAAAAACGTTTTTCCTGTGGGGGCCCATAGGCAGATGGGAGAAAGGGCCTGTCTGGCATCTTGGATTGACAGTCTTGCCTTGGGGTTTCTTTTCATCTATTGGCATATCCCCAACTGAGAAGAGATACTTGGGGTGTAAGCAAACCCAAGACGGCACAGCTTCACACACCTATGAGGAGGATGCCCAACACTACAGAAAAAGTTCCAGAAAAACTTCTGAGATGCATCATACGATCCGTTGGGCCCCATCCTCACACTACAGTAAGGCTACCGACTGCGTACTTAGAACCACAGGAAAGGTCTTCACCCAGTCCCCTCCCCAATCCCTTATTTATTCTACAATGAATAGATACGAAGAGGAATAAACAAACCTTGTAAGGACCTGTACTTCTGTAGCAGTGGAGAAGACTATAACAGAAGAATTTATTATGAGCCCCTTCTGAAATTCAAACTCAGGACAGGGAGGAAAGAGGCAGAATAGCAGGAAGGAGGAAAAGAGCTAATAACACATGGAGCAGGGCTGCCAGACAACTCTGCCTTTCCACCTCGCCACCCAAAATCCTCCTCAAAGGCGCAGTCAACCAACACTTATTTATTTGTTGTGTTACAGAGACAATGCTGATATTTAACAAAGCCGGTGTGAGAAAACTGAATCCTGGTTTCTAGTTGCCCTGGTCTCCCAAACCATCACCATCCCCGTGAGGCACTCCTTAAGAAAGGGAGGATTCAAGAGCTCAGTGCCTGAATTCTTACACTCCCAAGGCCTTAGATTCTCAGACTTGAGGACAGTTTTTTTGTTTTTTTTTTTAAACAAAGCAAATATCCTTGTGGTTTGATTTTTCCATTCCTTTGCTGGTACACATAAAAATCAGAAATATTTTCAGAAAGACTTTAAAGACAAATGAAAAAACAGACCACAAGTGAAATAGCTCAAGAAAATATTGCCAGGATTTTTCTGTTTAGTTTTTGTTGGTTGCCAAAGTTGTGCAATTTTACATTCAAACATGGCCCTAACAGTAAAAACCAAAGGCACAGCCTCTGAAAAGATGATGTCGGAATGGCTTACTCTGGTCAGGCTCGATGCAACCCGTGTTAACATCAAGTTCTTCTGACAGTGAGTTCTTCAAAGGAAGTCTCAACACTTTGCCTTGTGTGCGAAATTCTTCCAGCTCAGACTGGAGTTCATCCACTTGGTCTTGTAATACCTCGAATTTAAAAACCAACACCAGTCTTATAGCACAAGCAGCAAAAGAAAAAGTAAATGACATCACCAAACTAAAAACTTTTGTTTCGAAGAATATCATGAAAGCAAGAAGACAACCCACAGAGTGGCAGAATAGTTTTTGCAAATTATGTGGTCTGATAAGGGACTTGTAACTAGAATCTATAAGGAACTATTACAACTCAATAATAAAAAGACAATCCATTTAAAAATAGGCAAAGGATTTCAAATAGACCTTTCTCCAAAAGAGATATGCTGAAAAGCACTTGAAGAGATACTCAAAATCTTTCGTCATCAGGGAAATGCAAATAAAACACCCACCACTTCATAACCCCTAGGGATGGCTCGACTCCAAAAGACACAGCAAGAACTGTTGGCAAGGATGTGCAGAAACCGGAACTCTCACATTGGCGGGAATGTAAAACGGTACAAACCCCTTGGGAAAAGTTTGGCGGTTCCTCCAAAGGTTAAACACGCAGTAATCTTATAACCCAGCAATTCCCCTCCTAGATATATACCCAAGAGAAATGAAAACCTATCCACACAAAAACCTGCACACAGATGTTCATAGCAGCATTATTCATAACAGACTAAGCCCAGTGTTCATCAACTAGTGAATGGATAAATGCGGTATAACCATACAAGAGAATATAACGCAGCAATTAAAAGAAGTGCTGATACATGCTACAACATGGATGAACAATGAAAACGTTACAGTAAGTGAAGGAGGCCAGTGGCAAAGGACCACATATTGTATGATTCTGTTTACGTGAAATGTAAACAATAGGCAAATCTACAGAGACAAAAAGTAGATTATTAGTTGCCTAGGGAGTGATTACAGCTAAGTGGAACGGGAGTTTCTTTTTGGGGTGATGAAAATGTTCTAACCTCGATTATGGTAATCATTGTACAATTCTGTGAATATACTAAAAGATACTGAACTATACCCATTAAATGGGTGAATTGTATGGGTGAATGGTATATAAATCTATTTTAAAAAAGAACACTGAATGGATTTGGGGGATTTGGGGAATTTGGGGAGAGAGAGGACAGATTTTACTAAAGAAATCATAACTTTAAAGATCTATAAGGAAAACACCTCTACGTGATTAGAGCCAAGAGCCAAACCTTAATTGTAAAAGTGGCATTGTTTCATTTCTTTTCTCAAAATGTGCACGTGTATTTCCTGGGAAGGCAGGCTATAAGCAACCTCATAAGGAAGTGATTATTTTCCTCATTTCTGGACGAGTACAATTTTCATCTAAAGTAGTTAGAACTGTTATATTTTCCCTTGTTAAAATCAGTAAGTGTTTGTGATTTAAGGAAAAAAAATCCCAAATTCCTAAACTTAGGAGGGTTACTTTAAAAAAAAAATCAGAGATTGCTATTATTTATAAGGATGTTTTTGTCTTTTCTGGTAGGGATTTTTTTTTTTTTTTAATGTTATGTTAGTCACCATATAGTACATCATTAATTTTTGATGTAGTGTTCCATGATTCATTGTTCACGTATAACACCCAGTGCTCCGTGCATTACATGCCCTCCTTAATACCCAACACCGGGCTAACCCATCCCCACACCCCCCTCCCCGCATTAAAACCCTCAGTTTGTTTCTCAGAGTCCATAGTCTCTCATGGTTTGTCTCCCCCTCCGATTTCCACCCCCCTTCATTTTTCCCTTCCTTCTCTGTGTTATTCCTTATGTTCCAAACATATGATAATTGACTTTCTCTGCTTGACTTATTTCACTTAGCATAATCTCCTCCAGTCCCATCCATGTTGATGCAAAAGTTGGGTATTCATCCTTTCTGATGACTGAGTGATATTCCATTGTATATATGGACCACATCTTCTTTATCCATTCGTCTTTTGAAGGGCATCTCGGCTCTTTCCACAGTTTGGCTATGTGGACGTTGCTGCTATGAACATTGGGGTGCAGGTGCCCCCTCTTTTCACTACATCTGTGTCTTTGGGGTAAATACCCAGTAGTGCAATTGCTGGGTCATAGGGTGGCTCTATTATTAATTTTTTGAGGAACCTCTACACTGTTTTCCAAAATGGCTGTACCAACTTGCATTCCCACCAACAGTGTAAGAGGGTTCCCCTTTCTCCACAACCTCTCCAACATTTGTTGTTTCTAGCCTTGTCAATTTTTGCCATTCTAACTGGTGTAAGGTGGTATCTCAATGTGGTTTTGATTTGAATTTCCCTGATGGCTAAGGATGATGAACATTTTTTTCATGTGTCTGTTAGCCATTTGTATGTCTTCTATGGAGAAGTGTCTGTTCACGTCTTCTGCCCATTTTTTGGACTTGATTATTTGTTTTTTTGGGTGTTGAGTTTCAGAAGTTCTTTATAGATCTTGGATACCAGCCCTTTGTAGTGTCATTTGCAAAGATCTTCTCCCATTCTGTGGGTTGCCTCTTTGTTTTGTTGATTGTTTCCTTTGCTGTGCAGAAGCTTTTTATCTTGATGAAGTTCCTAAAGTTCATTTTCGCTTTTGTTTCCCTTGCCTTTGGAGACGTGTCATGAAAGAAGTTGTTGTGGCCAATGTCGAAAGGTTATTCCCTATGTTCTCTAGGATTTTGATGGATTCCTGTCTCACATTGAGGTTTTTCATCCATTTTGAGTTTATCTTTGTGTATGGTGTAAGGAAACGGTCCGGTTTCATTCTTCTGCCTGAGGCTGTCCAATTTTCCCAGGACCATTTACTGAAGAGACTGTCCTTTTTCCATTGCATATTTTTTCCTGCTTTGTCGAAGATTATTTGACCATAGAGTTGAGGGTCCATATCTGGGCTCTCTATTCTGTTCCCATTGGTCTATATGTCTGTTTTTGTGCCAGTTCTGGTAGGAATCTGTGATGATTTACTGGCTAAAGACTTGAGTGGTTTTGCTTTATTTGCATTTTGTGAATAAAATAAGGAATGTATTCAGAAAAAAACCCCAAAAACCACAGGACAAAAGCAAATTACATCAGATTAGGTCTGCAGTGTTTGATTAAGGCATCAACATGACCACATATTTCTCCACTTGGAATAAAACTATATTCTCCTCTAAGCACTAGCAATTTCTGACCTAGATAAGGCAGACTTAAATGCAGTTTGCCTGATTCCCTAATATTTTGGGGATACTAGATAATAACACCTAACATTTGGGTTAAGTGCTTACTAATGTTCCAGGCTCTGTTCTAAGCACTTTACAAATATTCACTCATTGACTCTTCTCAACAACCTACTGAGAGGGTACCCTTATGTTTACCAATCTTACAGATGAGGAACTGAGGCACCCACAGATTATTAAGTGACTTGCTTATGGTCACTAGTAAATGGTGAAGTGGGATTTGAACCCAGGCCCTCTTCCACATATTAGGTTCTCTTTAGTCACTCACCCTGCACTGCTGCTCATATTCATTTCTCATCTGCGTCAGCCTCTCTTCTTGCAGAAAGAATTCAGCACTGCTGGGATCAAGGTCACCAAACTAGAAAAGGAAAAGGACATAGTTTTCATTTTCCCCAAGTGTCCCTCTTAGACCTTTAACCCACCAAAGGCCCCACTTTCTGGTGTTCACGCAGAGTATGGTCTCTTGAGTATGAAAGGAATGTGACATTTAAGCAGAACATTACCAACTGGATGATGGGAAGAACATACTAGAGTGATGTGTTCAACTAAGGCAGGGATCACTTCTCAGTGCCAGGCAATGTTTCCTTCGTATCCAAGCTCTGAAATTACATCCCTGCCAAACCGACGGCCTCCTTGAACCATCTAAATACTTCCCTCATAGACATTTCCTTGGTGGCATTGCTTCTGCTCTTTTGAGTAAACTACACTTTGGGCTGCGTGTCAGGAGATCAAATTTAAACAGATTTACCTTTTCTGCTAACACGTTTTCCAAATTTCGCTGGAGTTTGTTTGTCAGATTCTCATACTCTGCCAACTTCTCTGCATTTTCCAGAAGCTCATTTTCTAGACGACTGTTTTCCTGAAGAAATTTGGGGAAATTAAATGGACACTGAACTAAAAATAAGCAAACTGTTGTATCTTTTTATAGGATGCATAAATTCGTGCCCTAGATTGAGAGAATTTGTTCATCTTCAAAGTTTCAGTAGATTAGAGAGGACAAAAGTAAATATAAAAAAATTGATATTTATCTTATAACCCAAAAGTCTGCCTCCTCTTTCTTTGATCCTACAGAATGATGCTGTCTAATATGGCAGCAACTAGCAGTCACATGTGGGTAGTGAGCACTTGAAATATGTGTATAGCACAAACTGAGATGTACTCTAAGTATATAAAACACCAGATTTTGAGAAGTTAAGGCAAAAATGTAAAATGGCTCAATAATAATTTTTGTATATTGATTATGTGTCAAAATAATGTTTTAGAGATACTGGATTAAATAAAATTCAGAATTAAATTCACCTGTTTCACTTTATGCAGCCATTTGAAAATGTGAAGTTACATATATGGCTTGCACTGTATTTCTATTGGATAGCATCGCAATATAATATTTAATGACATGAAAAACATTCTCAATATATTGTCAAAATTGGTGGCAGGAAACCTTGTTCATCTGATAGCAAAAGAGAACTCAGAAAAGTATAAAAAGTAGAATAATGAAAATCAATTTTATTGATGCTATAAAAGCTGCACATAAAGGTTTTTCATAACTTGTATGTTTATATTATAATAAAATAACACATCAACTGAAATCCACAAAAGATGTTTTTTTCCTGTATATATAATACTTGTTAGATTTCTACCCACATTTGCTTAAAAAAATAAACCTCACAGACGTGCATTTAGATGTATGTTCTGTTCCAGTGTTAAAGGCTAATTGGAAGAACATTATTTTCAAAGTATATTTTGCCAAAAGAATATAAAGCCAGTATATTTTTAATACATTCTAGTTCACACCCTCACATAGCAATATGGAATAAAAAAAGAATGTGTTTGAAGAGTTTTTTTCTTACCAAAAAAAAAACCCCACCTTCTCCCAAAATGCCAGTTCTAAAACTCTAATCTTTCAAAGTATGTCTAAATTTGGATGTCAAAACAGTTAGGAGCAATCTCTGCGTATCAGGCCTGTGCTGGTGCTGTGGAAACTAACCAATCAGATTCTGTTGCTGACCACAGGGAAAACACAATCTGGACTGTGGGGAGGGAGACAGATGTAGATACGGTCATCTGTGATGCCTTCTCTTCTGGCAAGAAAAAAGCAAGCATCATGGGAGTGAAAGAGTCCTGTGGTCTGCCGTGCTGGAGAAAGCAGTGAAGGAGCCTAAAGACCCGCTGAGGAACCAAGAGAGCTGAGGGCAGTTGCGGTTGGGTCAGGGCCATGGCTGGGGGGCGGGAGGCTACTGGTGGGACCTGCAGTTGGAAAAGCAGGAGGCCAGGCTCCGTTCCAGGGGCCTTTGGTGCTACCGTGCTGCACTTTAACGAAGCGTAACAGCGTGTTCTTCAGTCAGTTCTTCAGTAAGGTAACTCTGGGGGTCATAGGGACGGTGGGGAGATGGAAGAAAAGGTGCACACAGGTCGGCTGAGAAATTCTGATGAATTCCGAACCTCTGCAGAGGTTGCAGACGGAGATGAAGGGGATAAATCTGAGAGACCTTTCAGCGCATCGGCAGGTCTGAGAGACCGATGAGTGAGGACGACTGAGGATTTTAGCTTCTGTGACAGCACATGGTCATGATGTAGATTAAGGAGAAAATTCCGAAAAGGAAGCAATTTGATGGTGAGGGTGGGAGAATTCGCTCAGTTTTTCATGTGTGGAGTTTCAGGAACAACAGTTAATATTCTTTGTATATTTATTACCTTCCAAACACTGCATATGCAGCATCTCATTTAATCCACATATTTAAATACGCTCCTTTCTACACAAGGAAACAGGGTGGGATAACGTGATCAAGGTGTTCCAGTATGGAGTGGTATCCAGAATGGAACTAGGCAGACTGAGTCCACAACGGACCCCCTTTATCTCTAGGCTACACTGCTACACTGTACCACAGTCCAATGAAGAGAAAGATCGCTTCCTCTCCTGAGACACAGGAAAGGAGAGGAGGATGTGTAAGGCAAAAGACATATTTGGAAGCAAAGAAACAAAGCTGCTGAGCTCTGTGTGGCAGGAGATAATGCCATCTGCTCTGACCTGGGGTGGGAGACAGGGAACGGAGAGGGCCTCGACCAGGTGTCCAACAGCCCTAAGGACTCAGTGCAACTTGGGGGGGAAGAAGAACAAGATCCACTAATCAGCACTGTCAGCAAACCAGAAACCTGGCTACTCCTGAAATCTGGATCCCAGCAGGGGCTCGGCCATGTCTGGGTCATGACTCAGCAAGGCAAACTTCCGGGAATCCTGGGACTGAGCCCTGTGCAGACCATCCTCTTATGGAGCCCTAGTTTTCCAGGCAGTATCCCCAGCAGGGACACAGGCCAGAGACCTAATAGGAGGATTACCTTTAAAGAGAGAGCAAGGCGGTCCCGGATGTAGTTCTCTTCTGTTTTTGCCTTTTCGATTTCCTGCTCAAGTTCCAAACGCTGCTTGCCCACCTGCTGCAGGATCTGTTCTCTCTCCTTCCGGAGTTCATTCTTTAAAGCCGCTATCCGTTCCTTGTACTCTTCATCCAGTTTCCTGTGAGAAAGGAAGGCCAATGAGCTGCCATCAAGTCCCTCAGAGGTCCAATGCAGATCCATCAAAAATGGAAACAGAAAGTCACAGAGATGGGAAGCTCCTTGAAGGACCTAATGTGTCCCGCTTTCCTTTAGGCTTGACCACACCTACGGCCCTCCAGCCGGGTGTGGCCAACCAGGCAGGCAGGCTGACCCCCACCGAGAGGGGCCAGGGTGGTGGGAGGGAGGGACGTGGCCCTACCAGTCACACCTGAGGTTGTACTCATTCCGCCGCTCTATGGCCGCATGGTGATCATCCACCTCTGAAGCCATGAGAGACTTGAGCTTCTCAGCCTTGTCCAGATCTGACCGTAGCTTCTCTTTTTCTCTGATCACTTGATCAACCCGCTCCCTAGAATGAGAAATAGACAGAGTTCAAGGGAAACTGTCTCTAAGCAACAAGGAGACCCAGAAAAGCTCTCATCTGGCTTGCTTCAGTACAAAACCAAAACCAAGACAACCAGAACCCCTCCAAAACAGAAAGACATTTCCATGGCTCCCCTCAAAAGCCTAATGCAAATCTAAGCGTTACCTCGTTTTCACAGTGGTGAGATGCTAGGAGACAAGCCACATCTGCCTACAGAATGCGTCACAGGCATCTAAAGGACTTGTTGCACAAGTGGGAAAGGGAACAGGGCAGGTGAACCTTCTACCCAACTCACAGCAAATGTCGGATCTCAGCCTTAAAGCTGGCCAGAGCCGCCTGGTGAATGCCATTTTTGGTGACCAGAAGTTCATTTTCAAGAGCCAGTGTCAATTCTGTCAGGTTGACATTTCCATCAAGGCTGAAATCCAAGGCCTAGAAATCAGAACAAGTTAAAGACCATTATAAGTTCTGTCCTCTAAAGTGGAAGCAGTGAAGGGTATACAAACTCAGAGAAGTGGATGTATAGTCAAGAAGCCGGATGATTACATTTCTTTAGTGACTGCTTAGGGACAATATTCAATCTAAGATCTCTCTGAGGAAACAACGTACTTATTTGCATGTTTAAAAAAATACTATCTGCCACTGTAAATAAATACAATAGTGTGACTCTAATCTTTACCAACCAGAGATCAGTTAAGAGCACTGCACTTGTCAATAGTTTAGGAGTTAAAAACATGGAAAGTAGTTAGCAACAGACTCCTGGTCAAACGGGGTAAGAAAAGTTACCTCTTATCCCTGAGATCTTGTGAAAAGAAGAATCATTAAGGAGAAATCAAATCAGTTTCAAAAGCACTGGAATTTTTCAGCCCTTGCCCAATTTGTCCTTTTTCTCCCATGTTAGCTGCCATACCTTCAGGATCTCCTGGCTGTTCTCAATGCCCTCTTCCTGCCAGGAGTCAAGTATTTTCTCCACAGATGCGTAGCCCATCCCGTCATCCAGGCAGGAGAAGACCCGAAAGCCAATGGTACTCGTCATCACTGATGGGGTTGTGGTGCGTCGGCCACTCTCATCGAAGGACTGGAAGAAGAAAGAGACTTGAGCCAGGTCAGGCATTTCAACCAGACGTTGACCCAAACTGGACAGCCTTGACCACAATGAGCAGAAGAGATGGCTCTCTAACGCTACCAGAAAAACAAGTCATGCAGCCCCTTTGATCTTTCTTTCCCAAGTGAGTCAAGAATGTAAAACTTATCAAAAACAGTTGATCTGGTAGCAAGTCCCTTGACATAGATGTGTCTCTACTTAACACCAGGTTTCTCTGACCCACAGCTAACATTAAGGGGCATAATTAGTGGCTTCCCACTCTGTAATTTATGGTCATTTTTCAAACCCAACTTCTCCTTCCCAGTGGTTTAGTCTTTCTTCTTTTTTTGCTTCTCTCTTTCTCCTTCTTCTTCCTCAGACAACAGGTTAGTTCATTACAAACTATTCAAATGGGTTTTAACTTCTACTCACGGAGAAATCACTTCCGATTCATTTCTTACCTGCATGGAAAGGTGCCTTTTCAACTGTCTATAGGGAGTAGATGCTGATGGTGTGAGGGATTTTCCATTTTTGAACAAGCCATAGAAAAAATCTTCTACACTCATTGTACCGTCAGGATCAAGATTATGGAAGACTTCCTCAAGCATCTAGAAAATAGTAACCACTTACTTTCAGTATTTCCCTCAAAATAACACAAGGCCCAAAGTACATCTGTGGCCAGTAGAAATTGGCACCACTGTTGACCCTAAGGCTCCAGAAATAGAACACGTCCCTTTATTCTCATTTCACTGAATTTATTTTCCTTTTCAGTAATACGTCCTTCCTCCTCCACAAAGTAAACATCCATTTTCATAATCTTATGCAATTTAGCAATCAACTGTTTTTTCTCTTATTCATACTCCTAAAATGGGTAATCTTTAATGTTGCTATAGATTATTCTATGGACTAAAAATTTACTTTAAAAAGATAAAGGTAGAGCTTCCCAGTGTTGTAATAACAGAAATAAGTTTGGACTGGGGACACCTGAGTGGCAGAGTCGGTTAAGTGTCCGACTCCTGATTTCAGCTCTGGTCATGATCTCACAGGGTCATGAGATGGAGCCCCGCGTCAGGCTCCACACTGGGCATGGAACCTGCTTAAGATTCTCTCTCTCCCTCTGCCCCTCCCCTACCTCTCTTAAAAAAAAAAAAAAAAAAAGTCTGGACAAACATTAAGCCATTATATTGTGGTGACTACATGATATTTTGCTTATGTTGAATTTTTGAAATTGGTATGTTAGAACAGCAGAATTTAGTCTGGGACAGATTGCAATTATCTAAGAGTTTGGGTCTGAAACCCAGGACTTGGGATTAAGAGCACTACTTGGAACAACATTGTATGTTTTGGGTTTTTATTTGTTTTAATGCTTCAGCACAGGAGAAATGAAGATCAGATAAGACAGATTTTGTGTGTGTCCAATGGAAGGATCCCAGAGATGTAAAGAGAAGGGAATTTTGCCTGGCTGTTTTGTACCCTCTAACAATAAGTAGTCCTCATCACGTAACTGGGGAAGGAGAAACTGGATTACAGTCCCTTCCAGAGGCTTGCCTAGGAGGTGGTTTGTCCCCTAGCTCAACAGAGGAATATAAAGGGATGAATAAAGCAGCATATGAGTCACTGACACCACAAAACAGGGAGGAAAGGCAATGATCTCCTTTTTCCTGGCAGTTGGATTCCTCTTTACTCTGGGGTGGGGCTAAGGTTTTTCTATACAGAAACTCCTCCGTTGTACAAATCACCTGAGGATCTTGTTAAAATGCACACTCTGATATAGGGGGTCTGATATTCTGCATCTCTGACAAGCTCTCAGGTGATGTGCATGTTGTTGAGGGGCAAGGAAACCGATTAAGCAGCAAAATTACTCATGAGGCATTAGAGTCTGCAACTGGGTCCATTCTAACAAAGGCCTCTTTGTGACACATCTTTAAATTCTGACGATTCATTTCATAAGTCTGGACTGTTGCTAGGGTTTGTCGTCTCATATCTGTTTATTTTATTCTTCATGGAAGTGCCTGAGGCATTTATTTCAAATGCTTCTTTCCAATTCACATCCAATAGGGAACATATGTCTCTCCTTTTTTTAAATACCACTTCCTCTGGAGAGGTGTCCGAAACAAGAAACCATTCTTTTTTTTAAGAAACCATTCTAAAGAGTGGAAATCTTTGGAAGAAGAACAGTTCTTAATAGAGAATTAAATGGTAAAACCAATGGAAAGGTGTTTGGGGTGAGATTCTGGGGTTACTAAGATCCCTTAGCATTTCTGTCTCGCTCTTACCAACCAGAAGACCACTTTCTTGGAGGACTAGGCTTTCAGGACCACCAAGCCAGAAGTCACAGTAAATCCCGGTGCACTGACCGAAGTTAACAAGCATTATTTCAGCTCTAACCTTAGCTCCACACTGCTTGGGGACTTGTGACCTTGGCCAAGTCGACGCACAGCTTCCAGACTGCCTAAAAAAACCCATCACCTCATCTGTTCAAAGTAGCGGAGCAAGTGAGTCCTGCCAGTAATTGTACACAGGGGAGCGGGCAAGTGGCGAAGAGACGGCTGTGGATTCAGAAGGCAGGGTTGGGCTGAACAGAATGCAAGGCAAATGGGCAATGGGCCCTGTGCAGGAGCCAAATCTAGAACCCAGAGGACATTCTTACTCCTCATGACACACCAGCCGGGTCTCGGATGGTTGATCTCCCAGTGTGTTAGCTGGGAAATGACGCACCAGACTAGGGTTAACAGACCCAAATACCCAGAGAAGCCAGGAAGGCAACGTAGATTAATAAGGCCCGGTGGGCTTGAGACATCACAGAGTGGCGCCATTTAAAGCAGGGAACTGAGCACGTGAGTGCATGCCCTGTCCAAAGGAGCTCGCCAGTCACTTCTCACTGCTCGCACAATGGAGTCAAATATTCTGGTTCTTAGAAAAATCTCCTGATTTAAAAAAAAAAAAAAAAAAAAAAGTGTAGCAAAAGTTCAAGTTTTAAACATTGGGCAGGCCAAAGGAAAAAAACCAAAACCCCCAAAACTTTGGGCCATATTTGGCATCTAGGGCGATAGTTTGCCATCCCCGCCCTACAGTTGTCCTTGCTTCTGGAAAGCAGGGTACATGAGACAGGGAATCTAGTTCCCCTTCATGGTAACGGCAACAAGCAGCAGGGACATCACTTTTTTATCTATAAAATGAGGGGTCTAAAAATCTAAAATTGCTTTCGGCCATGAAATCCTATGATCCCAAGTTACAGGGTGATGAGATCATCTTGAACTTTCAGCTCCTCTGTGGTCTAGAGCCAGTAGTATGAAGTACTATAGTATTTCATGATTTTTTTTGGCAGGGGGAAACATTAAGTAAAAGCTATATTCAATGAGCAATCTTTTACTCATCCTTGGATCGGAGGAAAATAACTAAATGTGCTACTTTTTTTCCTGGGCTTTGGAAACTCCACCACAGAAGAAAATGCAACACTCCGCAAATGGCTACAGTTTATTCCAAGAATTGCTCTTAGATAAATAATCCAAGTGTGTGCAGTATTTCTCGGCAAAACCACCCAAGGTTCTGCATACTGCACTGGTTTATAATTTAGGATGAATTTAATTTCATGACTCAACAAGCAACACTGAAAAATAAATGACCACTGAGCCATTAAAAAGACAGTCAAAAGGTACAGAACAGTCACATATTCTAGGGAGAAGGAGGGGAAAAGCTTTTCTGCAAATTCGGCTACTTGGTAGCTTTTGATGATAAATATCTGGTTTAGGAAAATAGTACCACATAGCCCCTGAGCAAGCAGACAATATGGTTTCAAATATCATTATAATCAAAGATTCCCCCAACTACAACTGCAGCCCTAACCTCTGAGTCCCTCCTTATTTTCAGCTCTTTGAAAGACAAATCTTAGAATTATTTATATTCTCATGTTTCACGGCTATTCATGCACCCAGTCCTGCCAGTTCCCCTCTTAATTCTTCAGAAAAGACAAAGCTCAGAATCTTATCAAGCAGGAGTCTTTTGGGGGCTCCTTCAAGATTCTTCTGTATATCTTCAAAACCACCAACCTCCCCTTTTTCATTTCCTCATGACCAGAATATTGTGATGGCTCCTGGCTGGGCCCCTAGCCACAGGCTGTCCCAACACCAATATACCCCACAAAAGCAGCTCAGACCATCCTCAGTATCGAAGTCTGTCCTACATATTACTCATTCTGTGGTTGATAATGAGATCTTTGCTCCAAAAACCTAAACTCATCAGCCTGGCCTTTGAAATACTCGCCCAGTTCCAATCTTCTCAGCTGCCTGCATAATCTGTTCTCCGGGTCTTTCCCACATTTGCTCTGTGGAAGCCACTTCTACAAATGTATCTGCCATCGTGGCTGCACTGAGGTCATGGCTGATAATGACGTGGGGTAACATGCTTAGCACAGCAAGGGGCTCAGTGGGTGTCAGCTATTGTCAGGGATTTTTTGTTTTTTGTTTGTTTTCCATAACACAACATGAGCTTCTCCAGGAAGAATCTTCATGGCTTACTTCCTAGAGAAAAAAGAGACTGGAGTCTCTGTAACATGCGGCAGGAAGCCAAAATATGGCTCTTCCTAGCCTGTGGCCAGTCTAGACATTATCATGATTATTTCTGAATAAAAATATGAGGCAAGACTTACCTCTCCATCAACATTCTGCAGACCATACTGCTCACAGATGGAGACCAGCTTCTTTCGGTTCAGGTGACCATCACGGGTGATCCCCAAGTCTTCACAAACCTCCTGCAGTTTCTCTTCTATCCAGTCTTGGGGAGCAGAAGACCCACTCTGTGAGGCATTCAAGTCGTCTGGGTTCCAAAATCTTAACTGACCTGAAATAAAAACATCTATTGTGCTATGCGCAAAGGAATTGCAAAGAGAGAGAGCCTATCCTCAAAGAAAATCGTGCTTTTTGAAAGTCAATATTATAGGAAAGAGACTATCAATGCGGATTCCATTTTGATTTGAGTCTGCAGTTCACATGAAATAGAACCACAGGTTCTTGGGCTGCAACTAGAGTGAAGAGGCACCTTTTTTTCTACACCATGCAAGAAACACCTCCTGCGCAGGCATACCAAGGTTCTAGGTTTGTTTTATTCCAGCTGAAAGCAAGCACAGGCTTCAGGCTTCGGTGTGACTGGGGGAGAAAGCTAGTTGAGAGCCAGTCCAGAGAGATTTCTATGCCCTGCCCCAACTATAGCTACCAGACGTCACTATTGCCGCTCTTTCTAGTCGAAGCACTAGAAGTGCTTTTACTGAGAAGGAAATGATTTCATGATAAGTATCATAACATAATCATAAAAGTCTCAGGATTATCCTGTTTCCAAATCTTTACACCTTCAAATATTCTGCCCTACAGACAAACCCACTTGAAAGAATAAATGGTTGTAAATTGCACGTTACTAATCATTTAACATTAAGGATAGGTTTTATTTGAATGCTTAAGGATCAGACTTATTTAAAAATCAAAATGTATTTAGCCTCTATTCAAAGTTCTCACTTCAAGGTAAATTTTTCACTTACATGTTAGACATTTCTAAAGTCATTACTCAATCATGAGATAATTAACTGGCACAATTTTCTGTGCCTGGAAGAACCTTAGGAGGCTGAGAAGTACATTTAGTGCTACCCTTACTATTTATTGAAGAAATTAAGCTCATTACTGCTGTGTCTTTCCAGGTTAGAGACCTAGAGAACACACAGTAATTACTCTTAAGTGGAGTTTCGCCAGGGTAGCCTGAGAAGTGGGAGAAGGTTCTGGCAGCTGAACCACAGTGCCATCTGCTGGCCCCAGAAGTTCAACATGTTCTGTGGCTTCTTCAATCCATCTGAAACTTGTCAATGGGTGCATTTTAATAGGTCTCTATTTAGTTTAGGACTGCTCATAGATTAATTTCAACGTTTGTTTAAGAGTAATTGACCCATAAGTAAAATTCCACATCTTAGTTGCCATACCTTGCATGAGGTTAAATGCTAGGGTTTTAAAACTATGAACTTTCCCCTGGGAATGAGTATTTTTTATGGCTGTTGTTCTCAGGGTTACTTCTTAGCTGGCCTCCAGCAAGCGAGGCTGTTGGGAAGAAGGCTGAGAGCTGCAGGAAAGGGGGTGTGGAGTCTGAGTGCCCTGCGACCGGCAGAGCCCGACACACACTCGGTTCCTACCTTCTGCTTCATACTCCTCACTGCGTTGTGTCTTCCAGTGCTAGAGAAGGCAAGAGAAGATTAGTGTGCGTTAGTACATATTCAGTCTTTCCAAGATCAGAACACTCCCTGGCTCTGAAATCATCACCTGGGTGAGTCACATGACTCAGAACCCTCCAGGTGGGCTCTCCTGAGTCAACCAGCCAATCAAGAGACTCAAGAAACACCACAGAGCCGGCTGCGCTATTTCACTAGGGATTTGCCTTTTGCATTTGCAAATTGACTCATTCAACAGCAAAGCCTATCACAGCCAATAAAACAAAGCCAAAGCAAATATTCAGAATCCATCAACCAACAAAAATTCATACCATGCATTTATGAATTTGTTCTTCAATGTGTACTGGGTGCGAGGTATTATGGTACATCTTCAGAATACGACTATGAACAGAACACATTTCTTGCCTTGAGAAGTTTATATGCTAATGAAGACATGCACACAAGAACACAGAAAGTACAATATTGTAGCGTATTAAGTGTTACGATGGGCAAGTTTTCAAAATGTTAATGAGGGTACCTAAATGGGACCCTCCAGACTCGGGAGATCAGGGTAGACTTCCTGAAAGCAGCAACATCTAAACTGAGGCCTGAAGGGTGAACTGGAGAGAGCCATGTGAAAAGGAAGGAGAAGCCATTGTTTGCCGAAGCACAGAGGCAAGAATGAGCCTAGTGTGTCTGTGACACAGTGAGGAAGGAGACAGAGATACAACCCAAAACAAGTAGGCTAGAAAGCTCAAGTTAAATAAAATATATGTTACCGGTAAATTGCATTAGAAGCCGTGAAAATTACCTGAACTGGACCATCTTGCCCATTGTGCTGTGTTACTACTGGGTCTTTTTCAAGTCACAGCATACATTCGTAATCTGTGTACTGCAAAAGAGCACCCAGCCAAGGGCACAAATCAGAACAACTCCAGCCCTTGCTCCACCGGCCAAGCACAGCACAGGTCTACTTCCGGTCATTGGCAACGAGTAGGTTCGCGGTGGCCTTTGGCTGGCCAGCGAGCCGCCTAATCACTCCTGTTGGGAGGGTCTACAACCATCGCAGGAAACCCTGTTGAGAAACGGGGTAGCCCCCCTTTTGAAAGCTGGCTGCTGTCTCAGCAGAGATCCAACCTGATGAATGAAGCTGCCTTTGATAACAAATACCCAGCCCTTTCTCTGTGATGGCTGAACTACACAAGACGATCTGATTTCTTGGGATCCTAAAGAAACGCAACAGGAAAATACACCTGATGAACTCGTCTCCAAGAGCTTGGATCTCTCATGGCAAACAGTGCGCCACCCAAAATCCTTAGCTTGAATGCTGACTTTCGGTATCTCATTCAAGCCGAGACAAGTTGAGGTCATCTACTTCCTTCCTCCCCATACTCACCTATGCTGGTCCTCTCCAATTAACTAAAGGACAGCGATCTCCCAGGGTTTCACAGTTCCATATTTTACTTAGAAAGAGACTGAAGCTAGCACCAGAGAGTTTCCCCGGTTCTGCCACACTATACTGAAACTCCAAACTGACGATGCTGAGATGGGTCATTCTTGCCGTGACTCGAAATGCAGAAGTTCACTACGACTCCTTCAGATTGCAACCGCAAGTCGCTAATACACAGAGTAGTTATGGAAACAGAATTAGGGGACAGTGTGATTTTTGCTTGTCTGTGATTACAATTTTAGCAGTCCACATTTCCTCATAAAGACACAGTGCCAACCTGGTGGATGTACGAGGCACGGTGGGGGTACGGAAGGAGCAGTGGGGTAAGCAGCCCAATGTACAGTTTTTCTTACACTATTGGTTCTGGGCAGAATTCAACCGTTGTCATATGAAATGATTTAAATCAATAAAGCCCCACTAATAAAAGCAGCCTGCCTGTCTGTCCCAGCATATCTATTTCCTCACCCACAGAGTGAAGATTTAAATTCTTATACTACTTTGGCACCCCACATTGTGAAAATTTATTATTCAGCATATAAGTTGGAAGCACCCTAAAATGGAATCCCTTAAATCCACCTAAAACAAATAAAATGGGTTTCTATGATCTAAGAACCACCGTTCAAAATAAAACCTACTAAAATCATGAGAAGGGGACAATTTTTTAACAGCACAAATGGACAGGAAAAGTAACAGGAGAATATGCATCATCACAGGACCCAAACAAGAAAGGGAGCCCCCACTAGGATAAACAGATGGAAAAATGCAAACACACACCTTCAAAAAACCCTTGGTAACAACTCCTAACATAATGAGGTGCGTACAGTGACAGAAAGGTTTGTTTCTTACATTTGCTCACCTCTCAATTAACTTTAAAATAGTGAGCAATTAGTTCAGACGTGCAAGAGGCTCCAATATACTGTTTCAAATATTTTATGAGTCTATGGGACTGGATGCTTGTATCTGATTCACTTCTCAGGACAGTATTCCCTGCTGCCCTCCTTCCCTGATTCTTCCTCCTAACTAATAAGAGTGTGGGGACATGGGAGCCAGACTGCCTTATCTACTGAATTTGGCCTGGACACATTTATGAATTGCTTTTGCCTCAGTTTCTCCATCTACAAAATGGGAATATAATAGTACATATTTCACAGAGTTGGGCAAGAATGCTTAGAATTGTGCTTAGCACATAATAAGCACTATAAAACCTTATTTCATGTGTTTATGTAGTACCTATTAAATTTATTTTGCTAGATTTTATTTTTATTACCATGTTTAAACTTAAGGCGTTAAATTGGTGGCCCTGGGAAAGTATCAGTTATTCATATAAATTTGTAAGAAAAATGCCAAGTCTAGCAGATATGCAAAGAATACAGACAGACAATTCACATAAAAGGCAACACAATTAAACAAATATGGGGAAAGACTCATTTCAACAGCAAAGAAGTGTAAATTAAAACCAAGGAATCACTTTGTTCCCATTAAATTAGCAGTATTTAAGACAGGAGTCCTATTACCATCAAGGTTATGATTTAAAATAGGCCTGTTAAAATGTTACTGGTAGCAATGTGGATGGACATTACCCTTTTAGTAAAGAAAATTGCTTCATGTTTGAAAGCCATAAAAACGTTCATACTCCTCGACCCAGTAATTTCATATGATTTCTAATGATAGTAAAGTCAAAGGAAAAAGGCATATGCATAGATATGTACATTTAGCACTCTTTGTAAGAGTACAGAAAACAATTTAAAACCCTCAACAATGGGGCACAAACTACAATTATACATCATAATGTAGTCATTAAAACTATAATTATAAAACCATGTAGGAGATGGAAAAATATGAAATGTTAAATGAAAGACCGTAACAAAAATGCTCTCTATACTATGACTGCCGCTAGCAAAAATATTTATACAATAAGACAAAGACTGGAAGGAAACAGACATAATCAAAATTGGTTCATTTGGTTGAGGGAATGTGGCAAACGATTATATTTCCTTTGCTATTCTAGACGTTCATGCAATAGGAACAGGTCCGACCTTGCTATTTCTTTTACCCACCTGCCCTCAAATCCTCACCAAATGAATTTCCTATGTCTGTGATGTCTGCGGCCTCGTCCTGCCCTGTGACCTGGGACAGAGGAGGCCTCACAGGAGGCCCAGGTGCGGTTCCTGCTGGTGCCTCCTGAGCTTAGCGGAGTGCGGAAAGATCAGGGACACTGGTCGGAGATCCGAATGGGGGCCTGAGACCGGGACACCCTGGAGGTAGCTTAACCGGGTGGCATCAGGTTCAGCCCCGCCTTCTGAAGCCCAGGCAGCTCAGGCAGCTTATACAATCTCACACAAACTACTTTGGGCACGCGGTGGCGGGTAAGGGAGAACTTGTTAAAAAATCGCTAGGGTGACAGTCACGCACAATTTCTCCCGTGGCCCTGTGTAAGAAACCTAGATCCAGCTAGGACCAGCCTTCTAGAAGCAGCAAACTTAGGCTGAATGGCTGTAGTTTCATTCCAAGACCGCTTCAGTTGGAGATGGGGTTTGCTGCCCAGAAATGTGCTGCGCCCCTCCCCACTCTCCACCAAGGGTCCGTCCCTTTCATAAGGGGGAGGTAAGCACAGGGTGGCTGAATGTTTGTTATTAAGTTGCAATTTCGAGGGGTGAGTGGGTAGGGGAGAGATTCAGTTCATTCATAGCTCAGGGGCAGCGGGAGGGGGATGTCAGGTTGGAAGGCTGGGGGGATTAGATCATTGGCCTACTAGAATAGCACCAATAAAAGAAGGCATCATTCTGGAACAAGGTCTTTTCATTGCTGTTGGTTTACCCAGTGCAGTGAAAGCCTGGCACGGCAGGTGGCCTCTGAGCACAGATCAGCCACGAGCATCAGAAGGGAGGTAATCTCAAAAACCTTTGGAAAAGTCGGGGAAGAAAGGAGGGACAATTGCTGGCATGTGTTCTCGAGACTAATTCACGAAAAAGGGTTAAGTTTTCCCCTGAAATCTTCCATCACCTCGCACTGGAGAAATGGTATTAATAAATGTTTTCAAATCATTCTGTGGGACTTCAATTACTCCGCCCCTGGAGGCAAAAGGGCAGAGGGCGTAAGCACAAGGGCTGAGCGGAGAGACGGGGTTAAGTCTGGCTCTGGCGCTCTGTGACCCCTGGGGTACCCGGCTTGGGCCACAGGCCCAAGAACGTGCAGGCATATGCCTGGCACTTAGAAGTGTTAGCTACTGTTATTAGTTCAGCCACAACAATGATGTGGTAAGGATCTGGGCTCCAGAGCTGGACCCCACCCCCACCCCCCAGTTCAGTTTCAGCTCCACCACTTCCTTGCTGTTCAACCCTGGACTCATTACTTAACTCCCCGCCTGCCTCGATTATCTCAAAATGCCTGCCTACAAAGGTGTGCTAATATTTGGAACGCACTTAAAATGGTGCCTGCTACAAATTAAGAGCTAAGTGTCTGTTAAGTAAATCGGTATTACTATTACTGCTCCTATTATTTGGGTGTCCAAAACTAGGACAAGGGCAGAGAAAAGAAACAGCAGATAGACCAACGTCAGCTTTAGAAACAAACCC